TACTTCCATATTGTTGATTTTTTTCAATGAAATTATTTAATTGCTGTTCGCATTCATAATTTTCAACTCTTGTGTTTGATTGTCGCAATTACCGATGTTAGCGTCATCAGCCACAAACCTCACTCCGTGCGACAAATGACCTTAACAAAAACGATTCCTTATAGCTTCATTAATTAATATTTCATATGAAAGTGTAATGTGTATCAAATACGTATGCGGTTTTATATCGGAATGTTTATGCATCTGTGAGATGTCATAGGATGTTGAATAATGAAGTCGCAAGATTGATATTTACATAGTCTGATAGTTTTTAAAGGCTAACGGTTACGAGTGTAATGCAAATTGATGCGAATTAATTTATCTATAATAATAGTATAATAATATCATAGTATTTTAAAATTTATATACAGATCTAGGGTGTGATAGTATTGACCTTAACTGTCTTGAAAAAAATTCAGGAAAAAAATCATCCCACGTTATTTGGAAATCGTGAGCTTTTAAATGCAACCTAGAGCTTTGGTAAAATTATGACCATAATTCGGTTATTGTCCTTAATTTATATTGATATTGTTTAGTTGAACCACATATAAAAAATAAAAACACAATTGCCTCAAGATTGCAAGAATTAAGACTATTTTTAAGCTTTGGTGAAATTATGAAATTTTTTTGGTTATTGTGCTTAATTTCTATTAAATTAAATTGTGCTTAATTCTGTTAATATTGTTCATTTAAACTTTGAAATCACCGTGAATAACATTTCTAGGACCACAGTAAAAAATAACTAGTGGGGTTGGTGGCAATTGCTGGAACTTCCCGTACCGTAACGAAATGTTAGAGGAATATTGAATGTTTTCAAATAGATTATTATAAATATTGTAACATTGTCTAATATTTATAAGAATTATATAAACTGAATGGCAGAGTTAAAATTATTTATTTAAAGTATATTAGAACTATAATCAGAATTAAAAATAATAACTGAATTATTATTTTCGATATACAAAAAATTAAAAAAAAAAAAAAAAAAAAAAATTGGACAAATTTTTTTTTTCGAAAATCAATTATTTTGTTAATCAATTGAATCGGAAGCTTAGTTCTCTCAAAGACTGCCATTTTTTGTACATTTAGCTCTGTATCTCTGAAATGGCTGGGCCTGCCTTTGCGAAAAACTTATAACCCCTTCTCCCAATCATTACTAATTGAATGTTTTTTAGATCATTCAAGTCGGATGCTCCGTTCTCTCGAAAACTCGATTTCTATTTTCTGCACTCTTTGCTCCTTATCTCCGTAACTGCTGGACCTGCCTTTGCCAAAAACTAATCAGCACATCTCCTTATCAATAGGAATCGAATGTTTTTTAAACCATTCAAATCGATTGATCCGTACGCCCGAAAACGTGTGCGAAAATTTGTATCCATACATACATACACACACACACACACACACATCCATTTTTTCTGAAGTATGCCAAAATGTTCAGAAATCTTCAAAACGTCGAGAAATGTAAAAATTTTTAATTCCGATTTTCGGCTCATTGCAATAACTTACCCTACGGGAAGTTAATAACACAATTGTCTCAAGTTTGCAAGCTTTGGTGAAATTATGACCTTTTTTGGTTATTGTTCTTAATTTCTATTAATATTATTTATTTAAACTTTGGAATAGTAATCGTGAATAACATTTCTAGAATCACAATAAAAAAAATAATAATAACACAATTGCCCCAATTTTGCAAGTTTTTTTTTTTGTTAAACTATGAATTTAAAATTTTTCAAATTAGTCGGCTTTGGAAGGCTTTATTTTAAAATAAATTTACTAAATTAGCTAGCTTAATAAAAGGTTGTTGCATTCAAACATGATTATAAAATGGTAAAATACTTGATAATTTTATTATTCAAAATTTTCGAGTCAAAAAACAATAAATTGATCCAAGTTCGTTTTATGTGGTTTCTTTAACGTGTTTTTTTTTTGTTATTTACCCAAAAAAATGGCTGTTCATACACTGAAGATGATTCTATTAAACTTTTTAGAAACATAATTAAGTTTTCTTTTCATTATCTGGATGGATGCCCGTTTAAAATGTGTTTTACATCAATTTACGACTTGTTAGCATTTAAAAATATTAATTATTTTTATTAGATTTTTTTGCTTTAGAAATTAAAATAAAATTTATCAATTTTGTAGTTACCTACGTTCTTCAAAAGTTTCTAAAGCGTTTTTATCAGTGACTATAATTTTTTTATATATTTACAAGTATTTAACTAATTATTTACTATATAGGGGATAGCGGGACTAACGATATCTTAACAACGTGTAATTTTAGGAATTTGTTACCGAAAATATTTGAAAGTAGAGGGCAAAAAATATATAAACAGCCATCCATCCCCTTGATTCTTACGACATCGCTATTAGTAAATAAATCACAATGTTTGAAAATTAATAACAAACGTTTTCCGATATTGTTTTTTAGGTTTTGAGCACTGTTGTTCAGTTTACGAGACCATATTATTTTTAAGTATATATCGACACTTTTAAAAAAACAATCATTCTTTCAAATGTCTATAATAACATTATGCACCTATATATTATATATGTATATAATATTATAAAATTTAAAAAAAATAATTGTTTTTGTTGTTGTTTTAAATGTATCGATACTTTAATTAAAGTTATATGACCATTATCAAATGACTTTTGGAATACAAACCTACCTATTGCAAATAGGTTCACTTAAATTAAATACCCACAACGAACATGAAAATATCAACATTAATATATTCGATTATTTCATATACCTACCACACCTCAATCAAGTACTGTGATACAAATATTCAAATTTGATCTTTATTCTCGACATACAACCTTTAACAGAATAATCTTAATTCTGTCCTTATACATTTTTAATGTCACTCACCTCACGAACAAAATAGTCAAAACGGATTAATTGAATTCCCTTCGAAATTTTTCGAATAATTTAAAATGAAATTTTTACATAATCCTTTAATATGTTGAGCAGAATCGCGTGCGTGGGCGGAAAAAAAAGTACGCAACAACTTGAATGTTACAGAGTCATGATATGGTATTTATTATAGCAAAAGTTGAGTTCAATGTTATACATATGAATTTGTAAATACGGATGTAAAAGTTAAGTAATATTTATATAGACTTATTAGAAATATATTTCAGTTAATTTTTTTTTTGATCTGTTAAAATATTGGTATGTACCACAGATTTATACTATTTTGCCTAATATTGAGTGTTGAGACAAGTTATTTTTCCTAAATGGGGATGACTTTGAAGAAGACAAAATATTGATTTTGGCAACAATAACTATGACTAAAAAATGTCACTCACTTAAAAGTCATGTGAAAATCGAAAATATTTTTTTTTATACATCTTTACGTTTCAAAGGTTACTGAACATTTGTCATACCTTAGAAAAATTGAATGTATGTGTGTGTGTGTAAGTGCGGATACAAGTTTTCGTCGACGATTTCGAGAACACAAATCAACCGATTTAAATAATTTAAAAAGCATTCGATTCGTATTGATAAGGAGACGTACTGATTAGTTTTTGCATAGGCAGGTGTAGTCGTTTCAGGGCAAAAAGAACCAAAAATGGTAATTCAGTGTTTGAAAGAACGAAGCGTCCGATTTGAAGGTTTATTTTATTTATTATTTATATTATTTTATTTATATTGACTAAACGAACTAAACTGTTCAAATTTTTGGAAAGGCAGGTCCAGCGGTTATGAAGTTTCAATAAAAAAATTTAAAAATTGCCTTTTGGCGGTCAGATATTTATTAATGTGTATTTTAGTAATGTACACGTTTTATGTGATTTTTTTTTAGGTTCCGTACTAAGATTTTTAATTTTAAAATTTATTTATTAACCGATTTGTATGAATGAAAAATCATTCAGTTCGTACTCGATCGAGGGGCGTTTTGGCAAAAGGCAATCTTGCCGTTTCAGAGGTATGAAACGCAAAGGGTGTAAGAACGATTATGCAGTTTTTGAGAGATCATCCGAATAAATGAATTGAAAAAATATTTTGCTTGAGTAGACGGTGTGCAGAAAATGCTTTAAGAGAATTTCTTAATTTTGAAAATTTTCAAAAAAAAAATATTCAAAATTTTCAAAAAAGTTAAAATTTTCGAAATTATTCATCATTTTAAAAAAAAATATCTAAATTTAAAAAATAACGATTTCTTAGAAAAACTTGAATATTTCGAAATTTTCAAAAAAATCTAATAATTCCTTAAAAAAAATTTTTTTTCTAAACTTTTAGAAAAAAAAATCAAAATTTTCTAAATTTAAATTATAAAAAAATGACAAATTTAAAAAAAAATGAACAAATTTCTTATAAACATAAGTTGTTTGTAGAATACGCTCGTCGCCTAATTTGAAAAGCATTTATAAGTTCACAGTATGTATTTATAATAAATAATCTATTCGAAATTATTCAAAACAATTATTGATTATTTTCATTTTTTGAATGTTTAATTACGGTATGGGAAGTTCCAGTAATTTGCCTTAAGGCACGACGCCATGCGCCCCACTAGTTCTATATATAAGAGTCTTATGTCTGCAAATATATATTTATATGTATTTCTCATTATTCTTACATTTCTGCGTATTATGACACAAAAGCAATCAAGCATTACTGCTATGATTATTTATACATACTTGAATCAAAATACTACACTAGAGCAATAGAATTTTAATTTCTTTGAAAAGAATGAACATAATTTTTATGAGCCGTGAACTTTCACAATGTTAAAAGCGATTTCGATAATCTCTACTTTTGAAGTCACTTGGCCGTGACTAATCAACAATTAAGGGTGTCAAATGTACTGTACCTATATAAGTTTTATTATATAATAAATATCCGCATAATAGACTGTGTTTCTTGGTCTTTTGATTGCGATACTCTGTGTAATTATTGATTATGTATGCCATTATTCTGCAGACCTACACTTACCTTGCACACTTGTTTGCAGATGCCACATAAGTTACGAATATGTACATGTGCAACCTAATCAATTACCGGCCTAAGGAATTATTTTGTGATGACTAACATACAGGATTTTATGTATAGTGCCGTTAGAACTTTTGTTGAAAAACTAACAAAGGTAACATAATTGTATGTACATGATTTAATATTGAGCTGATGAAATACTTACTAAATTTCAAAAGTTCAAAAGTTCAAAATTAGTTTGATGTAAAAATTTCTAAAAATTGCAATAAATTACTAATTTGTTGCTAGAGGCAAATTGCTGAAACTTTTCTAACAACAATTAAAAACTTTACATACCTTTAAACATTTTTTAAAACTTTGAAAAATAATATTTTTGAGAATTTTGAAATTTTTTTTTTATATTTCGATTTTTTTTTATACTATGAATTTTTCTAAAAATGTTAAAATTTTTAAACGTATTGCGTGGCTGTTTTAGAGAAAAAATATAGACGCGCGTAAGCGCCGCATCGCAATCTAACGGATAAAATGTAGTACAAATCTTTAAAAAATATTAACAAATTTCATACCTATTACTAAAATCTCTAAAATTTGAAGTTCATATGTCTAACGGTCATTTTTGACCGCCAAATGACATTTTTTTTAACTTTTTTTTATTGGATCTTCGAAACAAATAAACCTGCCTTTTTAAAAATTTTATTATTACTTTACTTTGTCAATACAAATAAAATGTTTTTTGAATTATTCAAATAGGCCGCTCCGATCTCTCAAAAACTGAATTACCATTTTTGGCACTTTTTGCCCCATATCTTTGAAACATCTGAAACGTAAAAATATATAAAAATTTTCATTTTCGTTTTTTTTTTGTAATTACTATAACTTACCCTACGGGAAGTTATTTAGAGTCTGCTATTATTATCAATTTTTTACAGATAAAATCTACGCTGATTTTATGAACTAAATTTTTTACAATAATATAAATTTAATATCATACAAATATTATGCCCCTTAGATAATTTTTAAAAAATTTCGTTTGGATTTGACAAATGGCATAGTTTTATTGTTTACTAATAATATAAAGCTGCTATTTCCAAAAGTATGCCGAATCAAATTTTATTAAAGCGAAGAAGCATTTTTTTTTTATCAGAAACATAATTTATTCACTTTAGGAGTTCAAATGTGAAATGATATATGAATATATAAAATTGCAACCATTTTCTTCCTTTTTTTATAAAATTTCATATTTTACTATAAAATATTTATACTTCGGATATTCTGATTTGAAATGAAATGTTATCTATTTATTTAAGCTTTTAGTCAATTTTTCAGTTAGGTATGCTCAAACGGTGTCATTAATAGACATTTTACTCTTTTACAATAATTTACAAAATTACAATCATTTTCCTGCCTTTCAACGCATGTTTTTTGTCCATTTTTAACAAACATATTCTACTAAGGAATTGCTTTGATATAAAGAATTAATTTGAGAATCAATCGATCATTTTTCAATTAAATGTTTGTATTATTATTTTTCGAAAAATTCATTATTTTTTAGTAATTAAAAACATAAGTATTATATGTTTCAAAATAGTGATATTAGATCTGATTTGCATGTATTTACCTAACTGGCTCTTAGCCAGTTAAACTAGTGGTGTATAGCATTGTGCCTTAGGGCCATTTTTAAAATTTATTATTATATAAACAGTATTGAAAATATTAAAATTATTATTTAGTTAGATTTATTCTCAAAAAATCGCTGCAGGTTCTGACATACACAAGAGTTTTAAGTTTCACTTAAACAAGCTTTGGTATTCATTGTAATATCTTGCTTTTATCAAATTAAAAAATTGCATTTTTTATTCGATTATAAATTATATTTGAAAAATATATAATGTTTAGTTTTGGTATGTAATACTTCTCGTTCACATTTCCTCAACGTTTGAATGATGTTTCATTAAACGATTCAGGTTGATTATTTGTATTTTTTGTACACGGTTTAAAAAAATACTAATTACAAAAAAATATACAGATATATAAAGATTACAAAAGAAGTAAAAAACTATAAGGCATTGTAAAAACATATCCCAACCTGGTTCAGTCTCCTTTACTTCGTCAATCTTCTTAATGAAAACAAATTGTGCAAATGAAATTATTATTTAATCTTGTCTGCTAATTGAGCGTCGTGCTTGAATAATTGCATAAAAATCAGTTTAAGACAAGTAATGAATGCTTCGATACGGAATTGGTTCCGGATGACCTCTGGGTATGTAATTGTCTTAACCAGATCAATTCAGTCGAAAACTGCTAACGACTGCTGCTCATTTATAAATATTCATGGTACCATTTTTCTTGTAATTAGTATAACTTGCAAATAATCTTAACATATAGATATTGCATATATACGCATATATTTGAATACTTATTTGCAAAATGTCATGATAAATTAAGAATAGTAAATTTAATATACAGAGTATATGTAGAGTAGAGCAGGGTTTAAAGGTCCGCGGGTCAAAAGGTCTACCTACAATATCTCAAAGTAAAGTTAAGAATTTTAAAACAATATTTGAAAGTAGAGGGAAAAAATTGTGTAATCCGCCATCGCCTTGGATCAAGCAACATTGCTATCAGGAGACAAACGGCCAAGTTTGAAAATCTATAACAAAAGTATGATCTTTTGTTGTTATTTTTTTTTTGTTAGCACTGTTGTTAAGTTTACAAAACTTTAATATTATTTTTAAGTGTACGTTATTTACCTGTTTTATAAGATGTATTTTTGATTTTAAGTTTGAACAGATGTTTGTATATAACCTCTATAATAGCTTACCTGTGGTTGGAGTAAAAAGGGCCAACTAAAGCTTTATTCTGGCAAAGACAAAAACAATAAAAAATAGTATATAAAAATGTAAATTCAGTTTAAAAGAAGCATTTCACAAGAAATAAATTGAAATAATAGTTATTCCAAATCTGTTGATTAATATTTCTGACAAAATACCAGATCAAGGTTATATACAGTGTAATCTTTGTCAAAAATGTGCCCATGAAATCTATATTTTGCATTGGTTGAATATTATAACTAATATTCTATAAAATTCCTTTAAAATTAAAAATAAGGCATTGGATCTGTTCGCCAACTTGCTGTTCCATTTTACCTCACCTATGAGGTAAAGAGAAAAAGGTGACAAATTTTTGAAAAATAGAAAAAAAACACATTTTTACAATGAGCTTGGAGTTTTACTGAACATAGTCAGATAGTTGTTTGTTTGATATGTATTTGTTGTTTAGTTTTCACAATTTAGTTGCTCAAAGTCAAATTGGGCCTTCGTGCCCTGCCCTACCCTTTATATATATATATATATATATATATATATATATATATATATATATAAGAACATGATATCATTTAATGAAACTTTATATTTTCATAATATATCTTTTACAATCGAACGCCAATCACCTAGTAATAATAACTGTGCTATAATATTCATCGGGTTCATGTGTTTGAACATATTTCAAACTCTATTATTGCAAATAAAGTTGCATAGAAAAAATTGAAAGAATTACACTAATAATTAGCATTTTATGAAAGAAATCAGCTGAATTATACCTTTGTATCACAGGTTTAAGATTGAACATATATTTATAAATATTTACTGCATTGTAGTCAGCATAGTAACTTAAAATGCGAACACTTTAAAATTATTAATTATATACATATATATATATATATATGTATATATATATATATATATATTTATATTTTAGGGTGTTCCTTAATATGGACATTTTTGAATTTCCTTGCTCCCAAGGGCTCAAATGGTTCCAAATTGATAAAAAACAATTCTCTGAAAGTTTTAGCTCTCTAGAATCAAAGTTTTGTATGGAAATAGCATGGAAAATTTTTTGAAAATTAAAAAAGAAAATTTTTAGGTAGAACTTAGCGACAAATGAATTAAAATTGAAAATTTGTGTCATTTTTTTAGGAAAATTCGACGCTCTGCAAAACAGGTTTTTTATAATTTGTTTTGTAGAACGTCGAATTTTGAATAAAACTAGAACATTTGTTCGTTAAATTATATCGAAAAAACATTTTTAAATTTTTTGAAAATTTTTCATGTTTTTCATTTCCATACAAAACTTTGATTGAATTGTGCTCTATCTAAAAGTTAATATTAAGAGCTAAAACTTTCAGAGAATTATTTATAAGTATTTTATCAATTTGGAACCATTTGAGCCCTTGGGAGCAAGGAAATTCGAAAATGTGCATATTAAGGACCACCCTTATATATATATATATATATATATATATATATATGCTATTTAAATATATTTGAAATGATTTACAATTTGGTACTTTGTTACCAGATTTCTGGCTCAATTTACAAATTCAGGTGTAAATCAACAAAGAAATGTTTGAAATAGTTTATTTTTTAAATTGAATTATAAACACTTTTACTAGAAATAAGATTACTATCGAAGTTATCATTAAACATTGAAAGCATCACTGAGACAGTGAATTTACTTGAGTGATAAAATTATTAATCGAGACGTGTTATTATTGCAAAATTTCATTATAATAATTCAAAACATAAATAAGTGTATCACATAGGTTCATTGTCAGACTGCGTGACCCGCGATTTTCCGCCTTCGCTGGGTCTCGTATCCGGGCGCCCGCCCTCAAGGTTTTTTCACGAGTCATTTTAACATTTTAGCATTTTAACATTTTTGCATTTTTCTTTTCTCGTTTGTCTCGGAGGTCGACCTGACTACTTACTTGCTTTGTGGCCCATTGTTAACTGTCCCTCTCTTTACTGTGAATTTTACCCACCTCTTCGCGGTGTAAGCGCCGGCCTATAAGATCTAGACCCGGGCTCCGAGTTCAATGCAAAAGCTGCTCTGGCGCACCTATATAGTATCATTTGTACAGTGTAAGTGAGTGTTCAGCACTGACTCAAGATAACACGTACAGGTGTAAGTACAAGATGTTCAGACTTAAGTTGAATTTCATTATTTATTTGCATATTGTTGAAAATACATGAAAATTGATTCTACCTGGTGAAAATTTTCATGAAATAGAAAAATGCATTTGTATTTTGTACCTTTTAAATTGCAATGTATAACATATGTCAATATGTTTAATAACGTGGTTAATTTTTTTTG